GGGCGGGGAGCTCAGGCCCGTGTCCCTCCTCCCTTCCCGGCTTCAGGCGGCTCTGAAAAAGATGTTTGTTTTGCAACTGTTTGCTGGAGATCTTTCAGTAAAAAAAAAATAATTAAAGAAAAAGAAGTCTTTACCGTGTCGGATACAGATTCTGGCAGCGTAAATACTGTGAATGGTCTGAAGAAAGAAGTGAGCGAATTGGTGTTTGCTAGACAGATTTTCAGCTCAGGGTTGCAGTGGTACAGTGGGCTCGCAGCGCATTGCCTGTCGTTGGGTATTGCAGATGAGAATTTCATCGTTCCCGGGGGGATGTGCGCTCACGTTAAGCATTTGATGTCGTGCCTGGCCCCAGGCTGAGCTGTTCAGACTGTTCCGAGTGCGAATGGAAACTGTTGGCCAGGGTTGTACCAACGTTTTTCCAAAGGCTGGGTGGGCATTTGTCATCTACAGATTCAGGAGCAGGCCAGGTTGCTGAAAGGGCCTTTAGTGACGTCTGATATCGCAGCCTGTGGCAGGAGTAAAAGCTGTGCAGACCTAAAACTGTAGATGTTTGTAACAGAAATAGTTAGATTGGTATGAATGAAGTATGTCTGTCTGTGAAAGCACCACAAAAATGGCAGATGAGGGGTTAAAGAATGTTGTGTATTAGCTGTGGCAGAGCCCCATATGTATTCTTCAGTAAGAGGAAGAACAGAATTGGATCCATAAAACACTTGGATAAGGAAAACAAAATAACTATGAAATTCAGAAGTTTTTCTAAGGCTTATGTGGGGTAGGGTTGTAAGACAAATGAATGAGGCAGATAGAACCCAAACATCCACTCCTAAATCTCATTCGATGTGTTTTGCTAAATATATACTGTATCATAATGTGGCAACAATTAAAAAACAAATGAACAAAAAACCCAACAAGCTTAAACAGGACACTTGAAAATAAAAGTAATCAGATTCACCTTCATTTGTCTTGACTAATTATAAAGGCCACATTGTTTTGGTGGTGTTTTTTAGAGGGGGAGGTTGAAAGTGGTTAAGAGTTTGAGGAGGGAGAGGAAATGAAGACAAGAAAGTGAAGATCTCTGGTTAGAATTAAAATCTAGTGATATTTGGTATCTTCATGCATTCCTATGAGTCCCTCACCTCAGCTCCGACTGAGGTCAGTTGGCTAAAAAGTTGAGTCAAATGGTGGCTGGGGCCTGCTAAAAGGGAGTAAGCTCTTTCACTTCATCACGTCATCTCCAGGACTGCTTAATAAGCCAGATCAACATGGTAAAATGGCAGAAAACAAACCCGTTGGTTTGTTCCTCATCCTCAGCTCAAGGAGAAAAACAGTTTGATGTGCTAACTGTTTATACAGAGGTTAGATGAGCTTGAGAGTAGCACAGAACAGGGTGTGAAGATGTGCTTTCAGAAGGAAGGGATGGAACCATGGGATTCTCCTTTTGGTAACAGTGAATTGTTAGGTTTAGCTGTCTTGTACTGCTGGTGGAGAGTTATTTGTGACTTAACAGCTGCATGGGAAAGAGAAAAGGATGTGCAGTTACAAAGGCAAAAGTGTACTTTCACTCATATAATTTTTCTTTCCTCCTGGACATAAATAGCTGGAATAAATGCTGCTAGCAAAATGCATTTAGGCATGTAACCATTAACTTACTGTTAACATATTTCTAGGATAGATCCAGACGAAATGGCTTCCAACCTTTTTTTTATCTTAAGTTTCAAAAAATAAATGAGCAATCTGCAGTATGAGTATCTGATCTTCCCCTTCTTCCACATAAAGACTGGGAAGTATTAGCATATATTGTCTTTGTAAAAGAAAAAAGCATGCGGGATTATGCTGCATTTTGTTTTCCACAAAACTGTATAATAGTTCCTATTGAAAAAATGTTTCTTTTTCTTTCAGCTTCAGCAAGGAGAAGAGGCAGGACACAACAGTTCATAAGATCAGTAAGTACTGAAACTATTTGCAGTTAACTCTGAGGTGTTTGGAAAGGTTTTCTAAGCTATACGTCTTAATGGTTTGTACAGGAACCCCTTCTGCAGTCAAAACCTGGTGAAACAATCCACTGCGACTATTCCAGAACCAGCACCCAGCTTCTTTAATCTCCCAGCTGTTTTCAGTCTGAGTTCTCATAAAGGCAAAAACATTAACAATAATAGCTAACAGTTTGCTTGTATTGACACCGTGTACTGCAGGTCTTAAAAATAGCTTAAAGTTGCATTTAAAATAAAACGAGACATTTTAATGTTGTTTTCAGTACGAGTTTACAGGATTTGTAGTGGTTGCTTTCTGCCGTAATTAAAAAATCTGATATTGTGTATAAGTGAAATTGTTCTTGCACAGTAGAATTAAAACTGATATCTCAACATTTAATCACTAAGAATTTTCTTATTTATTCCACACATAAATTTCAAAAGTAGTGTGTTATGTGTTATGATTTTTAAAGGCAAATAGTAAAAGTGGACCTGGCATGTATTAAATTTCTGTTTAACTTCCAAGAGCAGATTTAGTGATATACCAAAGCAGTCAGACCAGCTGACTGCATTTATCTATTTGTCTTTCATCCTTTACAATGAAAAAATAATGTTTTGGGGAAAGAAACGATGTCTTGATTTTTTTTTTTTTTTTTAGAGTATTTGACTGAAACCTTGGTCACTTATTGGAGGATATAAGCTATTTCTGCAATATTGTTCCTCTACTGGATTTTCTATAGCAAGTAATTTCAGAGTTATTAATATCTGTTTCTTTTTAATACAAACTTGTTCAGACTTTCAGAATTCCAGAATTTTAAAACTCATTTTCTTGCCCTCCACCAAACGCTTAGGCACTTCGAGAAGTTTGCAATTAGATGCTGGTTTGATTCCCCTTCTTACCCCTGCTGATTTATCGCAATGCAAGAAGATAGAAAGTTCTTTCTAAGCATTTCTGAAATAAAATGCAACTGAAGATTGGGAAAGGCCTGCTACCCAAGCTTTCAGAGGCTATCTTTTGAAAATTCCTTTACAGATGAGCACTAATTTTGATGTAAAGGTGTCTTGAAATTTCTAGCTGTGGGAATTTATTCCTGAAATAACTTGTTGCATGTGTTGCTCCTGCTTTGTCTCACAAAACAGTGTATCTCCCATTGAACTTTTATAATTTTCAATTTATTAGCAAGCACCTCCCAGAAGTGAGAGGATGGCGGTTGATCAGGACTGGAGCAGTGTTTATCCAACAGCAGCTTCATTTAAACCAGCTTCTGTGCCTCTACCAATTCGAATGGGTTACCCAGTGAAGAGAGGAGTACCTCCACCAAAAGAAGGCAACTTAGAACTTATAAAGGTAAGACACATTCCATTAGTGTGTGGTAACTCTTAAAATTTTTATTCACTAAGACTGCACTGCTTTGATTGGAATATTTGTGTTGGATACTGTTTTCTGTTAGTAAATAGGATAATATTCTATTTCATTTCTAAATTACATGGTAACAAATACAAACATAGGTAACAAGTCAGGAGACTTTTTTTAGGATTATCATGCCTGTAACTTTTGTAATGTGGCTGATCTTAAGCCTTTTGCTAAATCAGACTTCAGAAGAGTCTTCTTATCTGAATATTTTATTAAGCGTATTGTACTACCTTAACAAATGTTAAAAGTGTAATCGGATTTCAGTAATGCCCCTTTATGAACAGACAAAAAGCAATTATTTTGGTAACTCTTAATATGTCTGTTTCAGATTCCAAATTTTTTGCATCTCACGCCTCCTGCAATTAAGAAACACTGTGCAGCTCTTAAAGGTGAGGGGGTTTGTGGTGTTGTCGGGTTGTTTCTTTTGTTAAAAACCATCTCTACTGGAGTTTTAAGACAATGGAAAATGTAACTATCTATGTGATGAAGTAGAAGGTGAAATGTGGTCCACCTCTGTAGCTGGTTATTTGTCAGGCTTTGGCTAGTATTGCATGCTTTCTTGTTGCTGCATTGAGTCATACAGGTGGTAGGCAGATATGTCTTAAGGTTTTCAGCACACCAGTAAGACTTTAACTTTACCTTTCCATTAGGCCCTGCTTGTACTGGAGAATTTATAGTTTAGTGTCTTAAGGAAGATGAGTGATGAATGTTACTGAGTTCTCAGAAGATTATTTTTGATTAAGCCAGGGTTTCAATAGTTGCCATTCATTCTGGCATGCATTTAAAAAAAAAAATATGCTGTTAATAAGTGAAACCCTCTGTGAGGGCAAACTCTGCTGGGGAGTTAAAGGATCTAATGAAGACCAAGAACATCTCTGCCAGCCGGCAAGCCAATAAGGAGAACCTAATGAGGAGGTTAGCCTGAAGAGAAGTGGAGGCACAAGGGGACAGAGAGGAGATAGAATCATAGAATAATTTAGGTTGGAAAAGACCCTTATGATCATCAAGTCCAACCGTTAACCGAATGCTACCAAGTCTACCACTACACCATGGTCCTAAGCACCAGGTCTACATGTCCCTTAGATACCTTCAGGATGGTGGTTGAACCACTTCCCTGGGCAGTCTGTTTCAATGCTTGACAACCTTTTTGGTGAAGAAATTTGTCCTAATATCCAATCTAAGCCTCCCCTGACACAACTTGAGGCCATTTCCTCTCGTCCTATCGCTTGTTACTTGGGAACAGAGATCAACACCCACTTCATTACAACCTCCTTTCAGGTAGTTGTAGAGAGTGATAAGGTCTCCCCTCAGCCTGTCTTGAGTTGCCTGTATACAAATGCATGCAGCATTGGAAACAGGATGAATGAGAAGTGTGAGGAGTCACAGAAATATAGAGAGAAAGCTTACATGACTGAGGTGCAGTCTGGGATGATGCAGAGGAGGAGCTGACCTGTTCCCAAAAGAACAGCTCAGATGCAGAGCTTTGCTATGAGATGCGTGGCAAGCTGGTCAAGAGTTTAGGAGTAGGGATCAGAGGAGAAGCCAAAATATTGCATTGGTGGACATCTGCCACAGACTGCCTGGTTAAGAAGAGGAAGTGGATGAACAGCTGAAAAAAGCCTCATAACTGCAAGCTTTGGTTTTCATGGGGAACTGCAGCCATCTCAACATCTGCTGGGAGGGTAACAGGATGGAATGGAAGCAATCCAGGAGATTTCTGGAGTGTGTTGCAGATGTTGGACAAACTCATGGGGTACTGCCCTGGGAAGCAAAGTGGCCCACGAGAGGTGGTGGATGTTCAAGCTCAGCCTCCTGTAAAAGAGCAAGAATGGTCCATTTCAGTGTGCAGAAAGTTGAGCAAGTATGCCAGAAGGACAGCATGGGTCTGCAGGGAACTCCTGGGTGACCTGAGATGCAAAAACGAAGTACACAGAAAGTGGAAGCAGGTCAAGACTACACAGGAGGAACAGAAGATTTTTGCCTAACCATCTTCAAGAAGGGCAAGAAAGAAGATGCAGGGAACTGCAAGTCAGTCAGCCTCAGTACATTCCCTGGAAGATTATGAAGCAAAATTTCCTGGAAGCCATTTCCAAGCATGCAAAAACATGCTTTATAGCCTGGATAGTGGTAGAGAGCATAACCTCAGCAAGTCTTCAGATAGTAACAAATTGTAGGGGAACAAGTGATACATTGGAAAGCAGAACTGCTATTCAGAGGGATGTCAACAGGCAGGAAAAAATCTGCTGCAAGGACCCTCATGAAGGTAAACAGCGGCAACGGTGAAGTTCTGCATCAGGATGGAGTAATCCGTGCAGCAGTACAGGCAGGGAGGATCAGAGGCGGGGCAGGGGAGGCAAACAGCTAGAAAGAAGCTTTGCAGAAAAGGCCATGTGGAGCCTGATGGGTATTTGAAAGTTGAGTCAGCATGAGTCACCAGTGTGCCTTTGTGGCAAGGAAGGCTAACCGCATACTGGGTTGTATCAAGAGTGTAGCCACTACATTCAGGAAATTGATTCTTTCCCCTCTTTTGAGTGTTACCTCCAGGGTGGTTGGACTAGGTGATCTTTGAAGATCCCTTCCAACCCAAACCATTCTATTTGGCAATTTTGAGACTGCGTCTGGAGTACTGTATCCTGTTTTGGGGAGTGCAGTACAAAGAAAGACGACCTGTTGGAGAAGGGCCGCACAAATAATCAGAGGGCTGAAACACCTCTCCTGTGAAGAAAGGCTGAGAAAGTTGCAGTTGCTCAGCCTGGAGAAGAGAAGGCTCTTAGGGGACCTTATTTTCACCTTTCAATATATAAAGGGGGCTTAAAAAGACAGGGAGAGACTTTTTACCAGGCATCACAGCGGTACATAAAGTCAAATTAGGCAGGTGATGTAACCCAAAATAGTATTTATTGTAATCAAAAGTGTTTTGGTGGTCCGACAAACATCAGTAACCACAGGTTCAGGATGCCAATGGGAATTAATACTATACAGTTGACATAAGAATTCTTAAGCTTTAGAATGATGACCCCAAATGCACAGTCACTCGCATAATGAGGCAAGGGCTCTCGACCTCAAGGAGTCACCTTGGGCAGTGTCCCAACCCAAGGGGAGCGTCCCCAACTGCAGACCCACAGCTCCAAGGGGACCAACTCAACTGGCCATCTGAGAGGACTCCGTTTTTACCCTGGTCCAGTCTGAGCTGTGGGCATATATGGCCATGCCAGTTCCTGTTGGCTGAGGGCTCCATCTACCGGCGACTGTGTATGTGACAACAATCCTAGTAAGGGCGCAAAAGGAATTGTTGGCCGCTATGTTTCAATGGTCGGAAAGCCCTCGTCTTTATCAGGGTGGGTGCACCTGCCACACCAGTCCCTGTAGTGACAGGACAAGGGGCAACAGGTTTAAGCTGGAAGAGGGTAGATATTTAGATTGGACATAAGGAAGACATTTTTTATGATGAGGGTGGTGAAACACTGGAAGAGCTTGCCCAGAGAAGCTGTGGGTGCCCCATCATTGGAAGTATTCAAGGTCCAATTGGATGGGGCTTTGAGCAGCCTGATCTAGTGAAAGATGTCCCTGCCCATGGCAGGGGTGTTTAACTAGGTGGTCTTTGACAGTCCCTTCCAACCCAAACCATTCTATGATTCTATTTGGCAATTATGAGACTGCATCTGGAGTACTGTATCCTGTTTTGAGGAGTGCAGTACAAAGAAAGACTTTGAAATACTGGAAGAAGTCTAGCAGAGACCCTGCTGTTATCTAAATGAGTATGGTTGCTATAAATAGTACTTTTAAAAAGATACATTGCAATAAATTAGAGGAAAAAAACCCCAGCATATATTACTTGGAGTGTTTTCTCTTTATTCTACAGATTTCTGCACTGAATGGCCAAGTGCTTTGGACAGTGATGAGAAATGTGAACAGCATTTTCCTATTGAAATTGAAACAGTAGATTATGTTTCTTCAGGGACATCTATTCGTAATCCCAAAGCAAGAGTGGTGACTTTGAGAGTAAGTAGTATTTTTGGTAAACAGCCTTTGTTTCAAAAACCCAAATGCTTGCCTTTCTTTTAAAAACATGTGCAAGTATGATCTGCTGTAAGGAAATGAGGGAAATGATTTACTGAATGTCCGAATAAAAAGCAGTGGATTTCCTAAGTATATTGCAGTATGTTAGAACTTAGGTTATGAGGTTATGGATATGCAGTTATAAATGAAGACTAAGCTCTGATATAAACAAATAGTGTACCTTCTGGAGAATCTACTTACAGAAAAGGCTATAAGTGCCTTTGTACTCAGTGTCTTGCTTAGACTTTGTTCATGATAATTTATAGACCCTAGAAGTGCCCCTCACTACAAGAAAGACATTGCGTTGCTGGAACATGCCCAGAGGAGAGCCACAAAGCTGGTGAGGGGTCTGGAGCACAAGTCTTATGAGGAGCAGCTGAGAGAACTGGGATTGCTTAGTCTGGAGAAGAGGAGGCTGAGGGGAGACCTTATCGCCCTCTACAACTACCTGAAAGGAGGGTGTAGTGAGGTGGGGGTTGGCCTCTTCTCCCTGGTAACAGATGGCAGGATGAGGGGAAATGGTCTGAAGTTGCACCAGGGCAGGTTTAGGTTAGACACTAGGAAAAATTTCTTCACTGAAAGGGTTGTCAGGCTCTGGAATGGGCTGCCCAGGGAGGTGGTCGAGTCCCCATCCCTGGAGGTATTTAAAAGAAGGGTAGATGAGGTGCTTAGGGACAAAGTTTAGTGGTGGGATGGCAGCACTGGGTTAATGGTTGGACTTGATGATCTTAAAGGTCTTTTCCAACCTAGAAGATTCTATGATTCTATGTATTGAAAGCTAGGTGATATGAATGTGGCACTATTAATAAGTATTGAGTTGGCAGGCCTCCAGGCATCCGCATGTATATGGTAGGCACAGCAGCCTTCTGATCATAGGGTCATGGGATACTTGAGGTTGAAAGGGAGCTCAGGAGTTTTCCAGTCTGACCCGCTCAAAGTGACGTAGGTGTGAGATCAGACCAGGTTACTTGGGACTTTGTCCAGCTGGGCCTTGAAAACCTTCAGGGCTGGAAGTTGCACAACCCCTCTGGACAACCTGTTCCAGTACTTGCCTGTCCTCATGGCAGCGAAGTTAGGATTGTGCTGTGTCTTTCGAACATGCCTTTTAAGATAGCTCCCTTTTTTTTGTCACCACTGATGGAAGGCTATGTGGCTGCACTGTATGAAGGGCACTGTATGCTAAGGTAGCATTGACCCTTAGAAGGGGTTGCTGTGTGCATAGGCATCTTGGAAGTATTATGTCTTTAAAAGTGAGTGTTCATGGTCATTTTAGGCTGTGCTAAGAATAGAGCTTTTTTTTTTTGCAGCTTGACCATTGCCTTAAAGACTGGATGCACCTAATAGAATCATAGAATGTTTTGGGTTGGAAGGGACCCCTAGAGGTCATCTAGTCCAATAGGGTCATGGGATACTTGAGGTTGAAAGGGAGCTCAGGAGTTTTCCAGTCTGACCCGCTCAAAGTGACGTAGGTGTGAGATCAGACCAGGTTACTTGGGACTTTGTCCAGCTGGGCCTTGAAAACCTTCAGGGCTGGAAGTTGCACAACCCCTCTGGACAACCTGTTCCAGTACTTGCCTGTCCTCATGGCAGCGAAGTTAGGATTGTGCTGTGTCTTTCGAACATGCCTTTTAAGATAGCTCCCTTTTTTTTGTCACCACTGATGGAAGGCTATGTGGCTGCACTGTATGAAGGGCACTGTATGCTAAGGTAGCATTGACCCTTAGAAGGGGTTGCTGTGTGCATAGGCATCTTGGAAGTATTATGTCTTTAAAAGTGAGTGTTCATGGTCATTTTAGGCTGTGCTAAGAATAGAGCTTTTTTTTTTTTGCAGCTTGACCATTGCCTTAAAGACTGGATGCACCTAATAGAATCATAGAATGTTTTGGGTTGGAAGGGACCCCTAGAGGTCATCTAGTCCAACCCCCCTGCAGTGAGCAGGGACACCGCTAACTAGATCAGGTTGCTCAGAGCCCCGTCCAACCTGGCCTTAGAATTAAACTTGACAAAATGTGAGCTAGGAAACAAAGCTAGGTGAGCTCCTGCTCACCAGTATTACAGGCATGCATAGTAAGTGAGCGTGTAACTCCTTAAAAAGGCAACATTTTTCATATAATCTATGGAGTAGTGAATGTTAGGGGTTTTTTCAAGAATAGAAGTTTCAGTGTTGAAACCTTCTTGTCTCTTCCCATGTTATATTTAGGTTTAGTACTTCAGTTTTCTATTTTTAGTAGTAGTGTTTTTTTCTTTTCAGGTACTACTTTTTTCCCTGCTATTTTTTGGGGCTTCTAATACCTTTAGTCCTTCAACTTTTGTTAGTTTTTCTGATGCAGTTTTCTTGATTTTTGAACAGTTCTTTAGTACAGCAGTGACACAGTTGAAAGAATGTAGAGGAAAAACAAACAGTGGACAAGTTAGTAAGAGAATACTATTATGTCTTCATGTTCTTAATATTCCTCAGCAACACTCACTTAATGGAAACTTGTGTTTCCAGCACCATATATCTTCAGACTGTTCAAAGTTTCACAGCCTTCTTACTTACTATTGTGTAAACAGATAGCTAAAACCAGCTTGCTTTACTTTTCATACGTATTACTGCATATAGAAACTAGCTTCAGACTAACTCCTTAGATTTTTTTTATTTTTTTTTTAAATAAATACTAGTTACTTGTTGTACATCCTATGTTTGTGGGTTTTCTGGTATTGAAACAGAAGACAAGCCATTCACACTATTGTTTGATTAATTACTTGAGATCAGACAGTTCTGGTCCATTATGTTGTTATCTGTGTGCATCTTTGCATGCTTCTATTAATCTCCCAGTAATTACTTTAGAGTTTTGATTTGATGTCTCTTGAACTGATGTTTTTCCTCCTCTTTTTGGATGCTTGTCATAAATTCCTTTATATATCTTAGTGTTAACCTTACTATCAGTATTTGAAAAAAAATCTAAAAAAATATTTATTTTTCCATAGGAAGGACACGTGAATATGAAATACAGCTACAAACTAAACTGAAAGCTCTTTTTTTTCCTCTTAAAAAAAGTTTGAGTAGAAATATTCTGCCCCAGCCCCTCTGGTATTTGGATGAAAATAAATTTATTGTTTGAATATTGAGATTATACTTGCCTTGTGTTAAGACTTCTGACATGTGATACAGTCAGAAGAAATTCTGCAAATGCATACTTAATAACTGTCCTTCTAATTCTTGATAAAAGATGTGCCTGACTATCTCAAAATATTTTCAGGGTGCAGAGGTTGGATTTATCCAAGTAATTAAAGGTGTTTTCTCTTGTACTTCAAGGTTAAACTTTCTAACCTGAATTTGGATGACCATGCAAAGAAGAAGCTCATTAAACTTGTAGGAGAACGGTACTGTAAGGATACAGATATGCTCACAATTACAACGGACAGGTATGGTTACAAGAAGGAAAAAAAAATGCCTGTAGCAATGGTCACAGTATAGAAAGGGCTGGGTGTCTTCCAGTAATATCAATTATTGTCTTAGTAAATTACTATATTTTTAAAGCTAAAATATGATTTAAGATAAACTTACTAGTAGTCTTGTTATTAACTGTTAAAATTGTAATGCACAAATCACGTAAGGTCAAACCTAATATTTGTGAAATACTGCTAGGTAGTGAAGCTCTGTTTTTAGAAGGCTCATTTGTTATTTTTAAAGTAGCTGTCATGTTTCTTGAATGGGTTCTGTTAGTTTTAACAATAATCTGAGGAGTTTCAGGCAAGAAAAATGGGGACATAAGTGACCAGACATTTCTCAGTGTTTTGGTGTTCCTAGATATAAACAAATCTCCATAGTTATTTACGGTTATGTTTGGAAAGTTGCATGGGAGACACATGTTTTCTGTATTGAGTTCTGAAGAGTTTCAGGGAATACATATGCATTCGTAAATTCACGATACACTTTAATTCACAGCTGCTTTCAGTGGTAGGAAGAACATTCTTGGTAGTCTTTTCTGTTTGCATGTTTTTACTAGAATTAATTTCCTCTCTTAAATTTCCTGTCCTCTGGTAGGATCTGTTCTATTTCTACATAAAATAAATACAAAATGGATAAAATTGTGCATATGTTTTTCAACTAGACTTGGAAATCTGGGTAGTTTACTAGGACCACTTGTGTTACCAACAGTTTTCATTTCCTTAGTGAGACATATTTTGTGGCTAAAACATTAGGAAAGCTGAAAGGAGATTACCCTCTAGAGCATCTGTGAATGGTCTCATGCTGTGTTCCACAAGAAACTCTTAATGTGCCTGTTGATACTTCATTTTTTTTAGTGAATTCTGAGGCCTAAGTTCCGAGCTGTATCCATTTCTTTAATACAGGATTTTCCAGGCTGGTATTTAGATTACTTCTAAACTGAGGTTCTTTCACTATGAAAGAAATAAGAGTCAAAAAGGTTGAGTCCTTTTTGAAGTTTATTTGCTAGAATAGTCATATTCCATAGTCATTCAGATGAGTGTTTTTAGTGTCTGAGATGTAGTCTCACATGATTCAATTTGTTCTGCATCAAAAAGGTGGTGTGAAGGAGCCTGCAGGAAGAAGTGAGTGTGAGAAAGAGACAGGAGGTTATGGGTGATCATCATGAGGAAGAGATTAATGTCATTAAGTTCTAAGCAGAAGGTTTTGATGACTAGTTTTGAGAAATACACTGTTTTTGCAGGACTGTGTCTTATCCCAACAAATGTTATTGGTGATGCTGTTTTGACTTACAGCTACTTTGACTTAAAACTTTTCTTGTTAAATTGTTGCCTAGATCTTCTGTTCTGAACAGTATTTCATGGCCATTTTCACCAGTCATCCTCCTCCCTTCTGGTTGGGGCAGGGGGAGGAGGGAAGTTAAAACCTTAAAAACCTTAAAAGGGATTTCAGACTAAAGTATGTTGGATTCCACTTTGGCACAGAGGGCAAAGGAGTTTTTTAAGTTTCCTGAAGATCTGTAAATTCTTGCATCATGTACATTTTCTTACTGACTTGCAGATGCCCATTCTTCCATGTTCTTAATACTTTTGCTTTCATGATGTTATTTTTTGATCGTGTGTAATTCAGATATGCTTGTGATTCAAACACACATTTCCCTAAGATTCCCTACATTACAAATTAGAAATTTTGATAGCAAATTTAACGTTTTGTTCAAAAGGACATTACAGTGGCTTGATTTCAAAAGGACTAGCTTTGTTTCTGATTTTTCAGGTGTCCGCTAAGAAGGCAGAACTATGATTATGGCATACACCTTCTCACAGTTTTGTACCATGAATCTTGGGTAAGCAATTGTGAATAACTTGCACGCTCTTAACACACCTGTGCCAACACGCTCTCTTGTAACTCATAAAACATTCTATGACTCTGTGCAGCTTGACTTATCTTAGATTCTTTTCCTTTTCCATCTCACTTTTCTTCAAATTCAACCAAGATAAGTCGCTTATGTTTGAGTCTTATTTCCCAGTCAACTTGGAGTGCATTTCTTTAAGCTCACAAGTGCTATTCTGTTGTTTGTATACATAGTTTGCATCTTTTCAGAAGTTCCCTAGTTTTTGACCTTAATAAGAGATTCTTTCCCAGTACTTTGTTTCTCACAACAATGAGCCTAAAACTGACCCTGAGCCTAGCAGAAAAACACCTTAATTCTCAGGATTCCTGAGTGTTTAGTTTGGCAGCATGCTGGGCGGCTTATGCACAGTATTCAAATAAGAATTGAGTGCATCCAGAGAAATGGTATACTCTGTGATTATCACCTGTTATCTATGTATTTTTTAATAGTGACGGTGTTTAAAGATGTTTAAACAAGTCTGTTCCAAAAAAGCAGAGGGATGTGTTACTGGCTTTAAAGCTATGAAAATTAACATACAGCACAGTATCTACATTTTGCCTGATTCCAAACTCTTTATCTGTTACTTAGAAATTGTCTTTTCTTGGGCTCTTCCTGGGCTACCATGGCTGTAATATGGAAGTACTCTGCTTCTTAAATGTTCTCTCACAAATCTTGCCTCAAGCTGGAAGGAGTGAGGACTTAGGCTGCTTTTCTGAGCTCCCTTTTGATGGCTCCCCACCTTCTATTAGTTTTAGGATTTCATTGCATCAGAGTTAGTGTCCTGAAAAAAACCCATAAAATTATTGTAACTCTTTAGATAAATATTTCCACCAAAGGAAGTGTAATGTAAACTTTTCTATGATCATTCAGGATATGGTGTATTGGGAATTTTTCCCAGTAGTTCGTTTTGTTAAATGGTTATACATGTGAAATATCCAATGTAAATGTATTAAAGATATTATTCCAATTTATTGATAAGTTACTACGATTGGTAAGTAGTCCTCTAAATATAGTAAGATATCTTTAGACCACAGATCTTTCTTTTACAGTGAGTTCTTCAGACTTGTCTCCTGTATTTTTGTGGTTAGTCATGTTGGTTATAAGTATTGCCTTCAACAATTTTACAGCTGTTTTTTACAGAAAACAAGTTAGCAGTCTGAAATTAAATTACTGTTGAAAAGCATAGTTAAGTTTTGGATAACTTAGCTTTGTTTAAATGTAATACGTTATTACTTGCATTGTTTGAGACAGACAGTGAAAGCTGTCATCATCAGTATATTTGCGTAGATGTACTCTTTTAAAAAAGTTGTAGCTGATTAGCTACCGTAATTCAAATTTACTGTTTTCAGTTGTTCTACAGTATTTAAATTAAATCTCCATATTTAGCATTTTTATGAATTTCAGTGTTCTTGATTTTGACCATTGCAAGTGATGACATAAAAGACATAATAAGGAGGATAAGCCATATTTTCCTTTCACTGGAAGTTGCCTTGAAGGATACAATTTGTAATTGTAGAGTGCATCAAATTAAGTTCAGCTTATACTAACATCTTAAAGGATATGTGTACTTTAGATTTCAAGTGCTTTGTACACATGGATATTTTTCTCCCCAACAGCATTACATTGCATTACAAATCCTAAATTAACGACAGATCAGTTTCCAGTATTAAGCAGTGACAAGAGAGCTAGACACTGCTCACTTTATTAATTCCAGACGAACACCACATCTGTCCTTTGCTCTAGCATTACTTAGTGGTGGAAGACAGGGCTATACGATATTGCTATGTGACTGTTCAGTGTGTATTGAATATGCACAAGTCTCTTGCCCTTTTATTACCTTTCAACTTCCATGTTAATATTTGATGAGTTCATCAGTCAGTTGTAATTGTCTTTGATTTCCATGAAAAATTAAGTATCTCCTGAGACATGGTTTTTTGTTTTGTGCAACATGTTTTGTTTTGATTTTTTTCCATGATCAGTGGTAATGCCTTTCAATAACTCAGTGAAAGATAGTTTGGATACGTTTTGTAAACCCTAAGCAAACAATGTGTGGTTTGTTTTAATTTGTACGAACTTTTAATATTGGAAGGAGACGGACGGGGACTGGTCTTCCATGTAGACAGTAACATCAATCTTGTTTACAGAACTAATTGCAAGATTTGATGACTTTCCCAGCAGAGTAGTGCCATACTGTTTTGATGCCTGTGTGTGATGGAATTCAATAAAAAGATGAGGGCAGTGTTCCATTCTTGCTAAGTGAAGGGAAAGCTGGCTGCATGCAAATTTTGCCCTCAATCCTGAAAAACTTTTCCTGCTATCTCTCTAAACATGGTATAACTTTATAATTTATGTTCATAACTAGGTTACTGAATTTTGTGAACAAACAAGTATGTGAATATATAAAAGGAAAAACTGTATGCAGATATACATCAGGAAATGTAATTCCAAGTGTAATTATATTTTAATTGCCAGTGATGCATAATTCTTTCATTACAGTTACAAAGTAGAGCACCCAAGTCAGTTTAGGAATCATGAAACCTTTTTAAAAGAGTGACTGTTCTTTGTGGTTTTCTTGGGTATCCAGTGAGCCGTGTGCTATCAAACTCCATTGTGTAGAGATGCATTTCCAGCAGAAAGTTATTCTTAAAGTAATGAGTATGAAGAGTTTAATTCTGGCTCATCTGTCTCTGTATGCATGCTTAGAAGACAAAATTTTATCAGTGTCGACAGTAGCCTCTCTTTACAGATTTTCTTACATCCTTTTCCAATCTTAGCTTCAATAAAAACCCAGGGCATCCACAGCTCGCTAATTCTATTGCTATTGCAATTAGAGAGCTCAGGTGGAATTAGTTTGCAAGAATCCTTCTTGTATTGGAGTTACAGTTGAAATCGGCAACACCTGTGTGCAGACAAAATAGAAAGGAAGGAGGAGGAGATTACCAACAAGTGGTACAGGTATTGCTCTGCCTCAAGGCTCTGAATATATTGTTAAGAATTTACTTCTTTCAAGGATTGCAATGTGTGAAGAGAGTTTGTTTGCATTTAAATAAATGACTAAAAGGTTATCCAAATCCAATTTGGCAGACTGGTTTCTGAGAAGTACCACAGCCAAAGCGAGGGAAACATGTTGATAGGTTAATGCACTAACTAGCATTTCTGTCTCCTCTAACCTGCTAACAAGGTGATGCAAGAAGACAGACTAGCCAAATTGTGAAAGGCTTTGAAGTTATGTTGGATGATTGAACCTGGAGTAGAGGAGCTTCCAGAGAAGTTTAGATGTTATTTATAATCATGTGTGTATGAGCTCCCTTTTTTGAATGCATGGGGAAAATAAGAAAAAAGGAAGGAATTTAAAGGAAGGAGGTCCTTTACTTTTTTCTTTTTTTTTATTTTAATTGTGGAAGGAGTAAATTAATATCTGTTTTGGTTTGGTTTTGTGAGTGTTAGAGGAAGAAGGAGAGTTTCTCTACTGTGGGAGGGAGGGAGGGGCAGGGGAAAAGAATTATCGGACTGTTGACAGATGGTCAGAATAAAGAGTTAAGATGAAGAAGCTGACAAAGGTGGCAGGAGTGCAAAAAGGTACATTAATAACTTGGGAACAGAGAGAGCAGCTGAAGCTACTTGATTATTTCTATAAGTGGGATAGTACTGGGTAACCTTTTGGGCTACATAACCGCTATGAATTGGTAGTTAAAAGTAGCATTGCATTTGAGACTGTACTCTTTCCTGTCTTCTAGTGTTCACACAGAAAAGCCATCAATGGACTTGACCATGCAAAATTCTGCAAAAGCTGAGAGTGCTCAGGACCCTTCAGGATTGTGTTAGAATTTACCAAAACACAGTACAGGGTTGCCAGTTGGTATTTGATCTGTATTTAAACAAATAAACCCCCTTTATTTTGAAGAAAGTAATGTGATGATTTTCTTTCATCCTCTAGAATGGATTCCCGTAGCAGATAATGCCACCCTTGCTTTTGGCAAAGGGATTCTATAGTGCTTGTTTTCTGGCAGGAAAAAAAAAAATCTTGATTGTTTGTTTTAATAGAGGAAGTGGAGGAAGAGAGGAGGAAAAACAGGAATTCATCCTCTGTTATCACAGGTTCAAATGAGGTACACTGTAAAGCAGAACAACCATGGGAAACTGCTCAGAACATTGGCAGCATATTGGTGGATTGATAGTACTTGCTTGGTAAGACAGCATGTTGTTTCCAGACATGGATCTGGACAGGGGGAGCAGTATTAATTAGGGTTTTACATACTGTGTTCTTGGTTCAACAGGTTTGAATTACAGGTTGGCTAATCAGGCTGCCTAAATCTAATGGAGAGCTCAATTTAGTTGTCTTTGTTACTTACAGAGATGTGTAAGAAACAAGAAGCGTACCTTAAGACCTCAGGCAGATGCATTTGGCACCTTAGTTTTGATAAATGCAGATATCAGGCCAATGAGTTCAGTTATCTGTAAAACATTCAGATTTTAAAACTTAAGACTTTGTTTATTTTCTTCTTCTAAAATACTTGGAGATCTTTTGCCTCCTATTTAACAGTTTTCAGGTTATTAATCAAATATTTGTGTTTCACTAGCTTTTAAAATGTATTTAGTAGATACCTGACTTGCACCATCTGGTAAGAACTGAACTTATCTTCTTCAGACTTTTTCTGTCATTGCTTTCAAATTATCCCCCAGGATTGTGCCTGGATTTAATTAATCAATGAAAGAGTGAGATATATTAGGTAAATTGTTAGACAGCAGCTCAATCAGTTGTATTTCTGCTACGTTTAAAAGATGGTACTTCTTGAATGCTGTAACATCTCTCTAAACCTGAATGTATTTTTATGGTATTCAGTGGGTTTTAAAGAGTAAGAGTTTGGTGCCCTCAAGTGGTTAAAATGTTCATAAACTGATCTTGTCACACTCAGCTGAGATTAATAGTTTATCAGTAAAAAAGTAAAGTA